ATGTCTCTGTAAGCAGGACTGGTGCATGCTCAGGGGTGCACATGCGCATGCACAACCAAATAAAAATAAACAAATGCGCTCTGTAAATAAGTTCAGACCACTCATTTGCATACGAAATGTCTGAAAGTTGTTAATCACCGTTTTAGTTCAACTAAATGTAATATTAAGATTTTAATTCGAACTGAAAGCATAAATCTAGGCTAGGTGCTGACATTTCATTCACTGATGCGCTTCACTCGGCAGCAGCAAAACCAGCAGTGCACAGACTTACTTGCTGGCAACTGGCCAAAATAAAAGCTTGCTTATTTTAGGTTTGAAAATTTAGAAAATTCATATAAAAATTTAATAAAAAAAGAAAAAGTAAATATTAGTATTGTATTTTCAAGTGTACTATAAAATAGTTGTATTTATATTTTTTACTCTTTTATTTTAAAATATAATAGTATTTTCACTATTTATTTTGTTTATTATGTAATTAAAAAAATAAACTAAATAAAGCACAATAATACTAATATTACTATTAATGTTATTTTATTTTTTCATAGTCATATTTAATGAGTCACACTGTGCAGTGTGAGCACCAAACCAAATCTCCAGGTGTTCATATGAGAACCAGGCTGAAAAACTTTTGTGCACCTTGTGCATGCTGGTAGTTTGCAGGGACAGCAGATGTACGCACTTTTTCTTACTGCAGGTTTTTGAAAATGTAAGTTGTTCTTGCAGCTCACTGTTCTAAAGTAAAGAATTTGGATGATGACTGGTGATCTTTTATATGTTAATGCATTAATTAGAAGTAATTTACAAGACAGAGAGCTGAAACCATTCAGTTGCGCACAAGTTCAAGATCATTTGCGATTCATAGATTTCACATCTGAAAGAGGCGTACGTGCATTTTCTGTGCCAATATCTTTGTTTATAACCTTGTTTCGGTCCATTTTAATATAAAAGGCTTTTGCTACTCATCTTGCCCTCAGCCAAAACTATTTACAAATAATAGATTAATGAGAGCAAAGATATACAGTAGTCAACATTTGAAGTGGATCAAAAAGAGTTAATCAAAGTTGTCCTAAGACAAGAACGCATTTTGGTTTTAGGTTTTAGGACAACTTTGATGAAAGGTTTTGATCCACTTCAAATTTTGACTAGTATATACTCAAAACAAATTATATCTCATGTTTAACCACTATAGAGACATCAGAGACAGTGGTATATTCCAGAAGAACTTTAAAAAAGAAGTTTAAAAAACTACATTCAAGACTAAAAAAATTTTAAAACTACATTCTGTGACACAACAACAACAGCATTTGAAAAATTATAGTTGGTTTTGCTTCTACGCCATGACTAACTGAAAGCGGAGTGTTATAAACGGTGAAACGGTTTCCATGGCAATACTGCTAGAATATCACATGGCTGGAAAGACCTTTCAGCCAATCAGATTCAAGATATAAAGATATACCAACAGGGCATCTACTATTTTCAATGAAAAATGCTGATTTCTGGTGACACAAATAGCCTTAGGCAATGCCCTGGTCAACTTAATGCAAATGCAGTGGCAGGCAGTGGGAGAGCAGACAAAGATCTACAACTGGATACTGTGGCTAGGGAGCATACAGAGCCAATCCTCCCTATACGCAAAATACACAAGCTGCGTAGGGCCCCCGAAACACCAGGGGGCTCCCTTGCTCTCAAAGATGATTTAATTTTAGTTTCGTTTTTGAATTTGGCCAGCGGTTATGAAAACATGAATGATAATTTATTTTAATGCAGTGCGGTGTCGCCCTTTCTACGTAAAAATCAGTCAAATCATGTAATGTGAATGTCATACAGTCTTGCTCGAGACTAAAAAACAAGTTGAAAGCGTACCGAGCCACGGAAGAGACACTGTTTCTCAAGCTCTTTCCGCGAGCATGATTCGAGACTGAGTGAAACATGGACAAATGCATTTCATTCATTCGTTCATAACCACTCATACCACACTCCACCGCCACCTCCCCCCCTCCCATCCAAAATTAAGATAATTTTTAGAACCAAGAACATTTGCCCCAAAGTTCCTATCACCTATCATTGCTGTAATAAAAACCTTCCATTTCCGACACAATTAGTATTAATATGTTTTTAATTAAAGTAAGCATACAATTATTACTTTAGCATAACACTTTTGAGAAATTGACATCCTGTGGTGTTGATGTTACACACCATCTAAACAACATTTTGCTAATTCTTTTATAATTAACCATATCATGCATGCAGATATTATGACCTATAATGAATGTCTGAAAGGTGTTTTGATACTTTTAAAAATGCATATGTTATCCCACAGGACCATTTAAGATGAACTAGGGCAAGGCAAACAGCTGTTCACAAACTGTTTAAAAAGAAATGGTAACTAGTGACAGTAATTATTATAAACACTTTTACTTCATTTAAATATTAACCTAAAATCTTGATCTTAAAGACATGCAAAATACATATTCTTATTTTTTCTTTTTGATTATGGGGTGAAATATGCTTATGCAAGACTCAACCATTGACCATTAAAATAAGAAAGAAAAGAAAGAATAGCTAAAAGCTGAATAACAAGATTTAGAGAAGTATTTTGATATCGGAATATTTGGATATCAACAACAACAGCATTTGAAAAATTATAGTTGGTTTTGCTTCTACGCCATGACTAACTGAAAGCGGAGTGTTATAAACGGTGAAACGGTTTCCATGGCAATACTGCTAGAATATCACATGGCTGGAAAGACCTTTCAGCCAATCAGATTCAAGATATACTGTATAAGCAACAGGGCATCTACTATTTTCAATGAAAAATGCTGATTTCTGGTGACACAAATAGCCTTAGGCAATGCCCTGGTCAACTTAATGCAAATGCAGTGGCAGGCAGTCATACGTAACCGAGACGATCTACAACTGGATACTGTGGCTAGGGAGCATACAGAGCCAATCCTCCCTATACGCAAAATACACAAGCTGCGTAGGGCCCCCGAAACACCAGGGGGCTCCCTTGCTCTCAAAGATGATTTAATTTTAGTTTCGTTTTTGAATTTGGCCAGCGGTTATGAAAACATGAATGATAATTTATTTTAATGCAGTGCGGTGTCGCCCTTTCTACGTAAAAATCAGTCAAATCATGTAATGTGAATGTCATACAGTCTTGCTCGAGACTAAAAAACAAGTTGAAAGCGTACCGAGCCACGGAAGAGACACTGTTTCTCAAGCTCTTTCCGCGAGCATGATTCGAGACTGAGTGAAACATGGACAAATGCATTTCATTCATTCGTTCATAACCACTCATACCACACTCCACCGCCACCTCCCCCCCTCCCATCCAAAATTAAGATAATTTTTAGAACCAAGAACATTTGCCCCAAAGTTCCTATCACCTATCATTGCTGTAATAAAAACCTTCCATTTCCGACACAATTAGTATTAATATGTTTTTAATTAAAGTAAGCATACAATTATTACTTTAGCATAACACTTTTGAGAAATTGACATCCTGTGGTGTTGATGTTACACACCATCTAAACAACATTTTGCTAATTCTTTTATAATTAACCATATCATGCATGCAGATATTATGACCTATAATGAATGTCTGAAAGGTGTTTTGATACTTTTAAAAATGCATATGTTATCCCACAGGACCATTTAAGATGAACTAGGGCAAGGCAAACAGCTGTTCACAAACTGTTTAAAAAGAAATGGTAACTAGTGACAGTAATTATTATAAACACTTTTACTTCATTTAAATATTAACCTAAAATCTTGATCTTAAAGACATGCAAAATACATATTCTTATTTTTTCTTTTTGATTATGGGGTGAAATATGCTTATGCAAGACTCAACCATTGACCATTAAAATAAGAAAGAAAAGAAAGAATAGCTAAAAGCTGAATAACAAGATTTAGAGAAGTATTTTGATATCGGAATATTTGGATATTTAGAAATTGCAAGTGTAAATCCAAAGCCATTCTATAGCTCCATCAGAAACATCATCACAAACTCATTCATAAGGTACCATGGACCTTAAAACATCACAGTAAAGGTGTGTTGCTGCATCAGAATATGTGGTGACCCTTGGAGACAAAGGACGCACCATTAGAAAGAATAACCCATCCAAAGATGGCTGCAAGTGAAGTCTCATTCATAATTCAGTCATCTCAGGGGAGACACCACTGCCTGCTTGGCATTCCGATGCCTTCCAGCACCGAACAGACTGTTTGTTTGAGAAAACCAGGTATAGTAGGCTGGTATAAAGAAATAACTTCATTATGCATATGCATATGTAATCTTGAAGAGATACAATGCAGTGCATAAAATTCTTATGGTAAAAGAGATATTTGGAAACCAGTCTAAGTGGAACAAAAGTTGTTTGCATATGAAACTTGTCTGCTGAAACTTGGTGTTCATCATGGCATATTATCCACTATTTATGAAAAGCAGTATGCAGTGTATACTATGTGCATTATGTGGATTTTCCACATATAAGGAATACCCAGATGACCTATACTGCATTTTTCAAACTGCGCAGTACACACCTAAAGCTCACTATATCCCACAATCCAATGGGCTCGACCTGAGCTTCCATTATCAGGTTGACAAATAAACCAGAAGCAATATCAACTACTATTTTTTTTCTTCCATTGCATCTTTATTTTTAAGATGATGGACATTAATTAAACATGCAGCAACATCATAAACAATGCAGCACGCCACTGTTTGAAACAACTTCTGTTGTATTTCTTAAAACACAGAATTCAATATACAGCACACTGTATATTAGACGTTACATTAATTCTTCAAATTCACCTTTTTGCTGACTTTTTTGATTAAGGGACTCCTTATGCCTTATAGGGCCATCACTTTGAGCTATTCTTGTAATGAGTGTGAGATCAGGATGTAACCAGCAGACAAACTGATGATGTCGGCATGGCAATCTGTCATCAATGAAAACACTCTCATGGGATAAGGATCTTGACATTACACCTACCTCTAGCTTGGACCCGCATCCCTACAATAAGTACAAGGACTGGCCAATGAATGTAGAGATCATTTCACTGATTTCTCCTAATTTTTTCTTCATGGGAAAGAGATCACCTTTTTGCTCTTACATAAGTGCTTGGCTCTGTCAGCACTATCTGTCATGCTAGGTTTGTCTTTGCTTAGCCATACTGATGCTGTCAGGATATTTACAGCTACTTTAACACAATCAAATATATGTCTGTATATCTTTAGCTGGACTACTTTCACACAATTAAAGTGCATTAAGTACAAAATTAGTTGTTCCAATTTAGCAAACTTTAAGCATACCAGTTTAGTACACTAAAAGTACAATTGCGGGGTAGTTTTTATTACGTTCATACATATGTAAATGTATTTGTAGTATACTTAACATGAAATAAATGTACTTCAAATACATTTTAGTATATTTATTTTTCACTAGGGTACTCAGCTTATTAATAAATGTAGTATTTTTGGCTAATTTGATAATGTATTCAAGTTACTACAAAGTACACTGTAATGCACTGGCGGAATCTAATATCAGAGAAGCTACAGCCCAGCTACTCTTTTGAAGAAGTATTTAGATTCATTAAAAAGTACTAAAGAAAAGTTTCACTGAAACCTGCAAAGTTTCCTCCTTTTCGGTAAGACGATCACCCTAAAACAATGTGACATAAAATAGTTAGCTCTTTACATGATTGCTAGCACACAGTTATAGCTTGAATAGTTACACTGTTTTAGCCGAGCTACTGTGTAGTTAAATTAGTGGTGTCGGTAGTTAGTTAGTCTGCAACACTGTTGTCATGCTAATACACTAATTGTAAATGATCGTATCAGCAAACAAACTTTTCACCATAGGCTACAGCTATCCAACATGATCCCAGTATCTCCTCCTTGAGATGTCATTGGCCGTCTCGACTCTCTCCTGGGATACTCTGAGGTGTAAACAAAAAGAGAGAAGTGAGATGCCACTGGGAGGACAGGTGATTCATCTCATTCGAAAGCCAATGAACTGGCCTGCAAAGGTCTGCCTGCTATCTGTTTTCAATTCTTATCAACAAGAGAGAAATGCTTAACGAGTCTCACAAAGGCCCTTCTGAGAGGCTGACCTGCTGCCCATCTGCAAAACAGATGAGAGGTGGAAACGAATCGATGGGAGGTCTCTGCTGGACAGATATAATTAACAGAATTCCTAAAAGCAGCTGATAGATTGATTAAGAGCTTGACAGCCATGATATAAGTAAGGAAGGGAAAGATATTCAGAAACAAGAGGCAATTTGCAGAAGAGTCTAAAAAGAGAAACATGCCTGCTAGACCCTTTCCATGCTGGTTCAAGCTGTTTGGTGCTGATGTTCACAAACAAATTCATTACAGTCTTTCTGAAGAAGCTGTCTGACCAAGGAATTCTTGCTGGTTGAATGCTTAGTTCATCTAAAAATGCAAATTCTATTATAATTACCTCGCACGTTTATTTTACTCAGATCCTTTACTTACATTGTTTCAAACACTTTGGAGTTTCTTTCTTGGTTTAGCAGAATGTTGGCACAAGTGTTTTCTATACAATAAAAGCAATCTTAGTCTCAAATTCAATTTATTTATGTATGTGTAAATTCAAATGTTTAAATCAAAAGTTTGTCACTACTGACACTGTGTATGTAGTGACCATTCTTAATTTGACAAGTGCGCATAATTGCAAAAAGAGCCATGGTAGAGGGGAAGATTTTTAATGGACAACAACTTACATTTCCATCTGTTACTCACACAAACAGCTTCAGGTGACTCATATATATAGTGGGAAAGCCATATGGGCTATTTTAAAGGTGCTTTTATGGTCCTTTTGAATCTATGCTGTCATTAAATGGAAAAGAACAGTTCTGAGATTCTTAAGTCAAATAAAAAATTAAATCTTATATATATATATACATATATTTTTTTTTTCTTTGGTTCAAGGAAGAAATCATACAGGTTTGACAAGACAGGTGAACGAGTGAATAATGACTGGATTTAAATTTTTGGGGGACCAGCCATGTTGCTTATGTTTGACAATTTTCTATAGAAAAACTTTGGGATTATTTGTTTTTGACGTCTATAGGAAATCCCACGCTTGCCAGTCTGCTGGGTCCTGATAGCATTGTTAACTTGTCTTGCAGTGCTCTATCTGTTTCTAACAAAACAGCGAAACAGTGATGTCTTAAAATATGTGGGCATGCAAGTTTGGATGTTGCATGTTTATTTTGAAGCCAGAAGTTTTCTTCAACCCTTCTCTACATTTTGTATAGATGCCATGCTGTTTGTTTGCTCATTCACATCCATTCATTTTCCCTCTCTCTTTTTCTCTCTCCTCTACCCTTTCTTTGAAGATATGCTTAGCCTGAATTGATGAGAAATTTCAGGGAGAGAACAGAGGCTTTCAGGAGCTGCATGAAAGGTGTGCGGAAGAACTGGCATTATGAGTTAGCGAAACACAAGGAGAGAGAGACGCCACAAGCAAACGCCTGCAATGCAAAGTACCACAATCCTTCCAAATCAGCCAGCACACATTATTGCCTACAGCACACACATGACAATGAGCTGTTTAAAGAGTGAAAAGAAAAGGTGTACCTATAACACCTGACCAGTGAGAAATATAACACATTTATTCAGAAGCACAAACTCATTTTGCAGTCAAATGTTTCCCCAAGCCGTTTGGGAATATCTCCTTTACTTCAAACCAAGTCTGAAAAATATGACAGGCCAAATGGGATTTGCCATTATTGAGTTTAAAGTCTCAACAGTTAATCTTTATACATCAGTCAGTCATGGGCTACAATGAAGAGACAGGCTGAAATGGCCACATTAGTATGAATACATTATTTATTATTCTAGAAGAGTCTATTGGGAAATATTTTTTTTTATATCAGCTAGGTGAAATTTAACACTTTTTACCATCACAGTTTCTCTAAACACCAATAAAGCGATTAAAAACAACAACAACTCAATACACAATTTCACATCAGCATCATTTTAAAAGAACACCACTGTAACTGTTAGAGCTGTATATTAATAAACTTTAACTAAACAAGTAAATTAATATTTACACTTTAGACAAACAACTTCGAGTGACAGGACAACAAAGTATACCTTTGAGGGAAATTCAAATTTGCATTTCAAAATGGTCATGCCAAAGCATGTCAACATCACGGTGTTCTCACAAGTCAAATCTGTGGAAGATTGAAGCAGAAGGGCTGATTTCATGACAGTCTTCAGCTAAAGAGACTAACAGCCTCTGACAGGAAGATGGATCACTTTACTAACGCCTGAACAAATCTATAGGAGAGGATGATAATAGGTGTTAGTACTGAATTGTGTCTCTTGCACGATTTTGAGTTAAGGATTTCAAGTCAAGAGCGTTTTTTGCCTCAAAATATAAACACTACAAGAATATATACTATGGTATTATCATGTTTCTTAGAGCATGGCACCTTGAAAATATTATCCTTTAGAATGCATTTGAACTTTAGTTATAAAAAAATTATTTGTTTTAGCAGTCATTTATTATGAATGTAATAACTCTGGATTTCCAACTCTTTGTTTTTTTTTTTTATTTCCCAATTTACTCAGTAATACATGTCAGTGTCACTTTATTTATAAAGCACAATTAAACAACATTAGCTGTTGATGAGTGTGCTGTACATAATAATACATTAAATTATGGAAGTCAAATGCACAGAAAATGCAGAAATTATTTAGAGTTTTTTTGAGGGGTGTGTCAAAAGTGTTGCTTGCAAAAAGCTAGGCATTAAGGACAGTCCGTTTTTTGAGTTTGAAATGAGTAACATCTGCACAAAACATGACAACAAATCAAAGATCATATTGTTTACTGCTATACCCTACATAACCTTGATCAACCCAGTTGATTTTCAATGCGAGTAATCTGAAGAGTTTAAACTGCAGATAATAAACACTTCTTAATGATTATTTATGCAGACTTCAGAAAAGAACAAAGGAAACAGGGCTAGCTTTAGATGATTACATCTACAGCAGTTTGGGGGTGAAACTAACTAAAAAGTAACATTTTTAGTAGTTGCGCTGTTTTCAAACCAATGTGTTTCAATAATATTATAAAATAAGGACAGCACAGACACCATATACTTTCCTTGAACCAAACAGCTTTATCTTGCCTTTAATACACATCGACAAACCTTCACAAGCGGCCTCTGCTTTTAATTAAACTGTTGCAGCTCTAAAACATCACTTTGGTAATACAAAGCAATTGACCTCTTCTCAGACCTACGTCTCCTGAAGAAGGGCTATCAAGACTAACTGCTTTTGCTCATATTAAGGCTAAAAAAACATATTTAGCTTTTGAGAAATCAAAGAACCATTTTGCCGTAAGATGCTGCCACTGCTAGCAAGGGATGGGTTCTGAAGGTGCAAATGAAATCAACTGTGAATTTTACAGGTGGCTAACTGACAAGACTTTAATAATAAAAACAGTTACTAGAGCCATGTGATAGGGGAGCGCGGGGCACAAAGTTGTAACACACGTGGTTTAAATATTTACACACATGCTACCAAAACCAAATTTACAGCATTTATTAGTTACTATATCAATATTATATTGAGAAAAAAAGTGTGCCAAAATTCAAAAGTCTTTTGAAGATATAGCTGAACATTTATTTTACCATAGTAAAATTATATCTCTGGCTTAAGTACATTTTTCATCTCAGTTTTTATTACTCATTTAAAATGAGACAAATCTGCTATTATTTTAATCTCCAATCTGTTATTTATCAGTTTAAATTATTTTTTAATGCTTCGCTAACTAACAGAAGACAGTAACCAGTTTTAAATTCCAGTTGCGCAGATGGGGTGTTGTAACACTGCATTACAATGTGCCCTGCCGTGCTATTCTATGACATTAGCGATGTAATTTACACTATTTACTTTAATACATTTTAATGATAAACGACGAGAAACAGGTGAATAAAGACTGACAGTCAATGTTTAATATTAAGAAATTATTATT